CTTAAAAAACCAAAAAAAAAAAAAAACAATTTTCTGGATCTATTTTTTGCTTTTTGGATATGGTAATATCTTTCATTGGAATTCAATTGCTTCAGTTGCGGTGGAACTGATAGAATCACAAGATTATACAACGCGAGATCGATAGTAGTTTTTTTATTTTTTTATCGCTTTACATATTTCTATAGGGTGATGATATTGCAAGTTCTAATATTAGCCTCCAGAGGAAATTATATATCATTTCTCCAAATTACCTTTCCGTAGTCCATGCTCATGTCAAACCCTCGCGTTCACTGTTATTCCATGACTTGAGTTGGGATAGTTACTATTCTTATCTCTTCAAACACAAAACCACAACTACAACTATACTTTAGTCAACAACTTCACATGATTCACTAACACATCTACTGTCAAATCGAAAAATACTAGTACAATTACAACCCCATCAAAATAAAATTTATTATTGAATTAGAACACTTGTGCAAAGCTTTTCATATTAGTTGAATTTTGGAAAAATTCATGCAATCAATACATTGAAGGTACGATGGGGCGAGAGAATCTCGACACAAGAATGGTAGAGGCCAACAACTGGTCTTGGTAGAGATGGAATAATCTTCCGGGTTGCTGGAGCAAACCCGTTTACCATAGACCCCTTTTTGCCTATTCATTCACTCTTTTTCTTAACAAACCCAATTATTTATGAATGTGAAACATTGCATATAAGAATCACCACTCCAAATTGTATCTTTTATTTCATTTTGATCTCTTATACAAAGGGAAGGAAAGAGGAAGATAAGTCTAATAAAAAATAGCCTCCAGAGCACTACTTCACTCTATTGAAAAAACTACCCTTAGTAGATTTCAGTACCTCACATGTTCTTAATTCTGATGTTCGCCCCTAAAGTCTACATCCTCCCACTCACCTTCGTTCAACCCCTAACACTCCTAAACTGATAATGGAGACTGTCATGTTCTTCAATTTTTTTCCTCCATTTTTTCGCTTTTCAATTCACTAAGAACTAAACCACGGTGCGTTATCTTTATGCAAAATCATTGTGGAATTAACCTATTAAGTTGGATCTTCAAGAAAATAATAGTTTAAACATTAAACAGGATCATCACTCCTCATTTCTATATTATTTATGTGGAAAGAGGTTAAAACCACAATTTAGACTCCGTGCATTAGATGAATTTTATTTCTTGAAGGATGGACCTTTATTTCTCGGTTTCCATCATGAACACAAGCTAAATTTTTATATTATTGGAAAAAATTTAATGCCTTGGATTTGAAGGCAATTATACCAAACATTCATTCAACTGTTTTCTATTGGTATCTAAGAGAAACTAGTTTATCAGTTTGGTCAGTTGTATATATAAAACAGTGCCAACATCTCAAGTAACAAACTTTGGTTATTTTCCTATAATTAATATGTCAATTTTGTATATAATTTTTTGTGTGCGTGTCCATATATATATATATATGTATAAATTTATGATGTTCAGTTTCTTGGATGAGAGAGTGCCCTCACTGCAATCCAAATTCCTAGGTATGCCATCAATATCCTTAAATTTATCCTCATATAAAATAATTGATATTTCAAAAATTATCATATGATTTTTTTCTATAAATACGTACATAACTTACATATTGAAGGCGGCTACTGTGAATTTCTTATTTTCGGTTATGATCCCGGTCACCTAGTTGTTTTATGTTATTGATGTTGAAAGGAACAGGATTGACCTCCTGGACCGCATGTTTTTGATACCTCACTATCAAAGTTGAATCAGAAGGAGACTCACTCTCTCTATGGTCTATTTCTACGATTTGAGGGTTTTCTCTGGTGTCACATTTTGAAGGTACTTTATGTCTTCCCATGATTAAATGGAGTTTCATGTGTTTCGGCTACCCATTTCTTTCCTTCATAACTTTCTTTGCAATTCTTGAAAAAGGTTTGAGATGCTAAGTTTGATTGGGATAAGTTTGCTTGAAAAAGGTCTGCCCTATTTGGGTTCCAGATAAAGGTCTGCCCTATTTGTTTGTCAAAATTTTCATTTTCCTGCAATTCCCATTTTGCGGTTTCGACCAAGTCATTAATGCCTGTGATTATAATCTTCACACTCACTTGTGTAGCACTTTTCACGATACTATATGGTTCCTTAACTTTTGCTCTAAATTAATCTAGTGAATTTTTGTTTTAGGATAACATGACTGCTCTCTTTGTTCTTCAGAATTCTAGGATCCCGACTTTGAAATCTATTGGAGTGAAGAAATACCTTTTGGCTTTGGTACTTTTGTTTGAGCTAGAAAAAATTGTTATATGGAAAAGGTTAAAACTCATTAAAATACAAACAAATTAAACGAATGTGTTGACCTTCTTAAAATCAGCCTCGAATCATAGATCAAGGAATCACAATTCAACAAAGTGACCAAACTATGATGTTTTACAATTTGTAAATAGAACCTCAAATCATAGAAGTTATTATTCTGATATCAACAAGAGCATTAACATAAAACAGTGACCAAATTATATTTTTAAAATGTCTACAACATATTCATAAAGTTTTTCAGAATTGTATTTTGACAATACTAGGTACCCTTTCAAGAAATGATGGTTAATTTCCTAGAAAAAATTGATGAAGATATTAAAACATGACTTTTGATTTTTTTGAAGAAAAACTGGTTTTCTTTTTTAAGAGTAAGAGTGTAAGACACCAAAACTAATAAAAAATAAAATGCGGGCAACATATTCATTTTTCTTTCTTTGAATTTAAGAATTCGGACTGTTATATCCTGATTGAACTGCTCAATCGACTAAACTCACTCACCCCCACTCTCTCTCTCTCTCTCTCTCTCTCTCTCTCTCTCTCTCTCTCTCTCTCTCTCTCTCTCTCTCTCTCTCTCTCTCTCTCTCTCTCTCTCTCCCTCCCTCCCTCCCTCCCTAGTATGATTCTCTCTCTCTCTCTCTCTCTGCTCCCTGCCTCCCTCCCTCCCTAGTGTGATTTGAATTCCGGTTCAAAATTTTATATTTAATAAGTATTATCGATGTTTTCAAGATATAGAACTATACCTAATCATTGGAAGGTGGTGGCAACTTTAAGCCTAAATTTTTGATTTCCTCATTTGTGCCACTGCTTCTGATCCGAAGAATAGTATTTTTATTTTATTTTGTGAAAATTGAAATTTATTCTTAGTTACTGAAATCGTCTTATTCTGATTCACAAATAGAGTAGGATGATTACGACCAAAAAGTACAACAAACAATGTCGACAAACCTTTGCTTACACAACTATTTGCTAACATATTTTACTATACTCACACCCATGTATCAAAAAATCTGGAATTTAAACAATAAAATGCGATCGCAACTTTTCTTTTTAAGTGGACGTAATTTTAGCACAACTCAGTCAATATTACAAATCAACAGACAAGAATTTCACATAAAAAAATGGAATACAAAAATGGAATTCGGAAAAGAAGTTAACTCTTCAAAGTATACATAGGGGCAATAGCGAGTCCTGATAGATTCAACAAAAGAGTTTTAACAACTTTTCACGACCTTTGCCGTGGCTCCTCCACGGCATTTTCTTTTTTTTTTTCTTTTTTTAATTTCTTAACACTTATCTTCTTTTCAGCTTTCCCTTCAGCATTCTCTCTGCTACTTCCCAGTTCCCACTGCCACACCCACCCGCTTCCTATCCTTCCATTATATTTTCTTAAAAAAAGATTTCTCTCTCTTCCCTTCTTCCTCCACTTTTTCTCTTATTACTTTGAGCCTTCTCTTCTTCTTGATCAATCACCAGAATCCGCATCAATTCTAACCTCTCCATCAATTCGGATGTTGATGCGACCATGATCTCATCCTAACAATTGGGAACTGAAATCTTATGTTGAATCCCTGGTCATGAAGTCATCGTCTATTTGGGTATTGTCTATGGTGGTATAGGAAGGAAAAAAAATTGCAAACCAGATTTTTCTAACTTTATTCTTTCATGAATATGTTTTTTAGTTTAATGGGCACAATGATGATACTTGAGATTCTGTTTTCCAAAATATTCAAGAATTGATCTATTCGCTCAACTAGAATTAAGGGATGTCTGGCAGAGCAGAAGTGCAGAAACGAGAGTGAGTAAAATAAAGAAAATTTTGTTTTATTGTTTATAATTTGAAGCAAGAGTTTGTTTAGGTTGGATTTAAAACTTGTGTAGCTTCAATTTGCTAGATAGATTTCATAAATTTTCCTTTTGTTATTCAAGATTTGATGGGGATGTAAAGAGATTTTGGTACCAAAATTTTATTTTGAAATTGTACTTGTTTTTGTTAATTAAGTACGAGTGATTTGTAAATCCTCGTTTATGTAGTTCATATTGAAACGATGAATTTGTTTTGCTCATGTGAAAATGGGAAGTGGTAAAAGAAGAAGAAGAGTAGGAAAATAAAGAAAATAGATTGATAATTGTTCATTGGTATAGGGGAATGATATGGATCATGGATGGATTTGACTATCGATGTTGTGAAATGAACAAATAGGTTTCCTGAGAAACTACTAGGGGAAAGTAGAACTTTGGATCAGTTTGGATCTATGTAGGAAGAGAAAGGAATCAGTAGAGCTAAAGGAGAAAGTAGAGTTACGTTTCTCTCTCTACATAATTTGCTCTCTAAACTAAAAAGATGAACTCATCCCCGTCGAGCTTTGTCCCGGATGCCGGCAGAGCTGCTCATTCCCCTGGCACAATACCCATGACCAACCAGAACAACCAAATGACTCATTCTCCACCCCCATAAACACCAGAACCACCAAAAAGCCCAGATATGGGGGAGACAAGGAAGGATCAACCCCCACCCCCATGAATTTTAGGGATAAAATCATCCGGGGATTAGACTACTCCCTGTTTGATGTGGATGAAGAATTAGAAATCTTGGAGGAGGAAAAAATTCTTTCAAAGAAGGGAGCCAAAGCTAGAGTCCGAATCTCTGACAGAATGGAGAAGATGCTAACGGATCAATGTCAATACATGGTGGTACTCAGGCCAATGGGCAAATCCATAACGCTACGGACGTTATGCATCAGGCTCCCCGACCTTTAGTAGACAACAGACTGTATAGCATTTATGGACTTCTTCCTAGTGAAGTTCATGTCAAAGAAGACATGCAGAGGGTTCTATGTGCGGGCCTTTGGGTAATATTTCGCACTTACCTTCATGTGGAGCTTTGGAATAACAAGTTTGACCCAGCAACCAAACTCATCAAGTTGACGGTGGTTTGGGCTAAACTCCCAGGATTGCCGGTTCACTACTGCAACCAGTCCTTCCTTAAGAGAGTGGGACAAGCTCTGGGGAAGGAGAGACATTCGATCAGCAGACTATGGAGAGGAAACGGGGGAGGTTAGCAAGAATGGCGGTCGAAATCGATTTGGACCAGCCTTTAGATACCCAGATTGAGATGCTGGAAAGGACCCAAACGGTGGAATATGAAAATATCCCTTTACTATGTGCTTCTTGCAATAGAATTAGACACCAAGTGGGCACATGTTTGTATGTTAGCCCTCAGAGACTGAATCTGGCAGACCCACTGGTAGGGAGAAGTAACAAAGGGAAACTTTTGACGCTGACGGCGGCAGAGAGCGGTGGTAGTCACATGTCAACCAAACCTCAAAGAAAGAGGGTCCTAGAACCGGCAAGGGGAAGAACCAAGGCGCCGGTGGACCCCACTCACGTGGTTGTGAAGCCTTCAAAAGCCTTTGTGCAGTCCTTGAAATTGGATGTTATACAAAGTCTGATTGAAGAGGAAGACGATGCTCAAAATACAGACAAAGGGATTGACGGGGATGTGGCAGACAGGAGGAAAGGAGGAGAAGATGCGTTTGCTCCAGTACCATCAGTCTTGGGGATGAGAACGTCTGGCTCACATGACAGTCAAGCAAAGAAACAAGAAGGGAAAAAAGGGGAAGCAACTGTCCACAAAAGCCAACCAACTAATACCAGTAAGCCCGAACAGATATCCACGCCATTAGCCCAGTCCACCTTGCTAAATCTCCAGCCCACAAAGACCCAGCCCATAAAGACCAACCCTGGCCCATATAGTCACCATATTGGCTACTCAGCCCAAAACAGCTAAGTACACGACCCCACCAAAGATCTACAGACCAGTGACCTAAGCTCCCAGCCCAAACAGAAAACCCAGCCAACTTTGGCCCAAATGTCCTCCATGCCCCCATCCTCACTAGACCCAACAAAACATTTAGCAGTCACCATTCGCCCCACTCCCTCCTCATCAGTGAACAAAAACAGAGAAGAAGCTTGCATCGTGATGGAGAAAGAGTTTGACCAACCTGACCAGATAAGGGATGACATTCCACCGGATCCCCACCAAGGGGCAACTCCTCCTTTGGCGATTCAGGCGATGCATGTAGAAGCGGGACCGCTGATGGAAAGCTGTTTGATGGATGAAGATTCCGTCGACCAGTCTGTGGTAATCTGTGACAATTGAGGTATGTTGTTGATCCTTGAATAATTGTTATTAATGTGTACAACAATTATCTCTTGGAATGTGCGGGCCACAAGATCAAAACCGTTTAAAATTTTTTTTTGACTTGATGATTGATGTTACTGGATATTGTGTCTATTATAAAGCCTAGAATAAGTGGTGTGGATGCAGATACCTTTATGCTTAGGAGTTGAATCGATCAATCCTTCAAGGTGGAAGCTAATGGGTTCTCAGGGGGGATATTGATTTTATGGAAGGAGATAGTGGAGGTTGAGGTGATAGAATGTCAAAAACAGTTTATTCAGACGGAATTTGAAAGAGTGCTGAGAATTTCTTGGTCACCTTAGTCTACGCCAGCCCAACTCAGAGCATTCGAAGGGGACTATAGCCTAAACTTTTTAGAGTTGCATCAGGGGTGAAGGAAACTCTGGGTACTTGGTGAGGATTTGAATTACATACTGAGGGATTCTGAAAGTAAAGGGGGTGCAAGGAAATGGGGGGCAGCCTGTTGGTGGTTCTCAGATTTGGTAGAGAAAACAGAAATGATAGAACTTCCCACCATTGGCAACAATTTTACATGGAAAAGGGCAGGAGATAAGAAAAAACTTGGCAGGTTTCTATGTAATGAACGGTGGCTCCGGTTGTTCCCAGAGACGGTTACAATCCATTTGCCACAGCGTCAAATCTAACCATTGGCCTCTCTTGGTCCATTGTAAAGGCTAGGAGGAAAGACTACCCAGAAGGAAGCCTTTCAAATTCATAGCCTCTTGGATGATACATGAGGGGTTTGAACCCTTGCTGAAAAACTAGTGGAACCCCGAGTCTAACTGCACACAAGTAGCAAGGAATTTTGCTATTGAGGTGGCAAAATGGAATCATGATACATTACTTGGCTACCAAACTAATTGATTTGGAATTTGAGTTAAATAAAGAGCTGGGTGAAATACTAGCACAAGAAAAAGTCCTCTTGGCTCAGATATCATGCAGAAATTGGATATTGTTTGGGGACAGGAACTCTAAATTTTACGACGCTGCTGTTAAGAGAAGGAGGAAGAGAAACAAGCGGAACAAGAGGATGGCAGAATTTTGGAGGAACAAGAGGAACTGAGGGTGATGGCCGAAACCTTTTTTAAGCAACTATATGCGGCTCCCATTGAGCCCGGGGGCAGTATGATGTGAGGGGATGCTTCCCAAAAATTCTACATGATGATGTCCAACACGTGTAGGTGGGTGGAGGATGAGGAAATTGTTGAAGCTCTAAAGGAAATGGCTCAATTGAAGGCACCGGGCCAAGATGGCCTTCACGCATGTTTTTTCTAAAAGAACTGGGCGACGGTTGGTGATTCGGTGAGGACTTTGGTGAAGGAAGCTAAAAATGATGGATCCAGTTTGGAAGAGATCAACAAAACAGTGATTGTTTTGATCCCGAAAGTAGAGAATCCGGAGACAATTTGCCAATTTAGGCCAATAAGCCTCTGCTGAAGAATTTGATGAAGTCAGGACCAGGAGTCAGGGAATCGTGGGTTAGAATTTTTGGAGTAACTCTATGGAAGGTGTGGAAGTGGAGAAACGATCTTGTCTTCTCGAATTTGGACCTTCCCATTGGATTGAAGTTGGGGGAAAGTCAGAGGAAAGTTGAGGAGATCTCATCAGAAAGCTTATGGAGTAAAAGTGATGAGAATCATGTAGCCTTCCATGGAGGTTCTCCTAGTGAGGGGAATGAGTTAATCCTTCATTCTAGATTTGCAATGCCAAGTTTACTTTGCAGGCCAATCAAGGAAGAAAGGATGGATCTTGACTACCTATGTGATAGGGAGTTGGTTCAAGAGAGCTATGATCAAGGTGATGAGAATGTCATTAACTTTGGGGTGCAAACCAAAGGAGATGAAGACCTCATGGAAATAAGTGCTGAAGAGTATCAAGAGAGTTTGATTCTGTGTGGTCCATGAATATCATTGATCAAAGCTAGTGAGAAGAGTCATTTAGGTTCATGAGTGGACGGCCTATTTGATCAAAGTGTTCAAGATTGAGTCCATTGCTATACAATTGGATAGGTTGCAAACTATCTTAATTGTTTCAAGTGTTTTTCCAATCTTTTGGAGTCAATAAGGTGAATTCTACAAGTTTTGGAGTAAATTGGGGGTTTACAACTTAAGGGCGCAAGACCAATATTCCACTTTTGGAAGGGCGTTCAAGACATTTTACTTCAATAATTTGGAGCTGAATTTCGAGATTAGAGTTAGTCTAAGTCTAGGAGTCAATTTTTCGAATTTTATCTAGTTAAATAAGTCATGTGGACCGAATTAAGCTAGAGTGTTTTGATTAAGTCTTAGATTCCTTCTAGATATTATCCTACTTGAGGATAAATGATTTAGATAAGGTTTCCAGATTTTAGATAGAGTCAAAGAGATCAAGACTCTTATACTTTTACTCCTTGTGAGATATGATTAGAGAGTCCTAATTGGTCTTCTTTTTAGAGTCTTGGTCGAAAAATTCAAGCCTATATAAAGGAGGCTTGGCCGAATTTTAGAAGCACCCTTGAGTGGTCATTTTGTTGTCTCTTTTGAGAGTTTTTCCGTGAGGAATTTTTGTTAAATGGAGTGTCCATTTTTCGTGTCAAGTATGTTTAAACCAAGAGGGTTTTCATCTTGTCTTGGATCTTTTGATCTTGCGAAACCATTCTTTTCAAGTATCTTCTTGATAGAATTGTTTTAAAACTAAACTTCTTATTTTCATACTACTTCAGTAGTTCGATTGATGAGCCTTTCCTTTGGCTTGGTGTTCGAATTTCATGATGAGTGTGTTCATGAGATCCATTGTGGGATTGTCCTACTTTTGTTGGGATGAGTTGTCTTTGGCATAAGCATTTTGAGATAGTGTATGTGTTGCATATCTTTGGTTGGTTATGAAGATTACTAATTAATAGTATTCCTTCATAGTTGGGCATTGTTTGCTCCTACCTTTCTTGAGTCTCTTGATTAATGACTGATCGAGTATATTGAATGGTGTCCTTGCTATTCTTAGCGTGGGTTGTTGTTTAATTCGAATCTTTCATGGATAATGTGTTCTTTGCTTGGTTTGAGTTAAGAGATAGAATCACTTAGATAAACGATCGTCTTATTGTGAATTTTCCGCACTCTTTTGAGTTTCACGGGATAGACAAAATTATCTTCGTACTTTCTTGTTGATGGTTGCATTAACAAAATTTGCTTCGTCTACGAGATTGCTATCAGTTTCTTGGTATCAGAGCTTGGATTATCTTAGTGATGGTATTAATTGATATTGTCATATCAATTCCTATTATCAGTTTGATTTTCGAGAGATTTCTTCTTAGTTGGGAACTTTATAGTTCTTGGTTTTGAGAATATCTTGAATTACCACGGAATCCGTTACTTGGTGTGATGATCGAGCTTTGTGCTACTTAACGAGTAGTACTATCTTTATTTGTTTCAAGGTTCCTTCTTGTTTTGGAATAGGGTGTTGAAAAAATAAATCAAATTCTGTGAAAACTACGTTTTCAAAATTGATCTTGTCTTTTGTGTGGTTGTGCGAGACTTCTTACACATTTGTTTGATCTTGTGGTGTTATTTTGAGGTCTATGCGAGAGCTTGATGATGGTACGTTGGTATCTAATCAAAGTGGGCGCTACATCTTGAAATTTATCCTTGATTTGCAAGTAGAGAACTGTTTTCCCTATGAGCAAGTTAGTGGATCTTATGTGTTGGATCTTCAAGGAGAGAATTGATGCCAAAGAAGAGCTTCTTGCTCGAGATAGCCTTTTCTTTCTAAAAGAGATGTCTTTACATAAGGAAGATTTGAGAGTTTATCTTGTGGTAAATACCTTGGATCTATTCTTTGAAAGGTGAAGCTTAATGATTTTGTACTTTCTACATAAGGTATAAATGAAAAAAAAAGTCTTCCTTCTTGTTGGTTTCATTTGAATCTAATGAGTAAAATGGAATTTATGGATTTTCAATTCATGAAAATTTCATAGAGACCGAATTTTGTTTAATCTTAGTGTCAAAAGATTTTTCAAAATTAACAAGTGTTGGTTTCCTTGTTTTCTCGAGTTTTACACTTTGAGTTTGAGTCAAAAACTTTCTTTGTCAAGTGATAAGGAATGAATTTTAGTGATATCAGTTTTGGTATCAAAGTGTTTAAGATCTTTGAAGTTGAATTGTGCCAACTTTAAGGATTGAAGTCTTTGACTTGTGTTCTAAAACCTTGATTTTCGAGAGTAGGGTCGAAAATTAAGTGAAAGTTTTTCTAAAAAGATTTTCTTAATGTTTGACAAGAAATCTTATAGGTTTTGAGATGTATTCTCAAAGTTTACATATTTGGTTGTTGGAAGATTGATTTTCAATGGTCACTTATGAAGATGGCATTGTTAAGTCATTGAGTTTTTAGAATGATTTGTGTTAAATTTAGTATTATGAAGCAAATGTCATAATTGAATTATAATTATGGTGTTCTTGTTACTTTATTTGCCATGGATTGTTTTGGTAAAAAGTGATTTTTGTTAATTCCAAGTACAATTTGGAAAAGAGTTTTTAGAAAGATTCTAAAAGTTGTTGTCCATTTTTGGAAAGTGGTAATTTTCAAGTTTCCTTTTTAAGTGAGTCAAAAGTAATTTTTCAAATTTTAACTATGTGGTAAAAGGTTAATGACCGAAATTTTGCTGACTTTTTGCATGTGTGTGCGTGTGATTTATGTGTTATTCTAAGCCTAGTTGGTTTTGAATTTTAGAGTCATAGTATAACCGAAATTGTGAAGCTAAAAGTTAGGTTTTCCTAGTTCTAGTTGAACTTGAATTTGGTTGTCTATTTGTGTTACACTTGGAGACCTATTTGGTCTTGTATTTGTGTGTTCACATGGCCGAAAATTTTAGCTCTAAAATTAAGGTCATTGAGTCCAAATTGTGTTATGATTTGAGTCCTATTCGGTTTTGGATTTTTGTGTTCACATTGGCCGAAAATTTGCAGCCATTGTTTCCTAATTGTAATACAATTTTATTGTGTGTTTTATTTAAGTCCTACTTGGATTTAAATACTAATTTTTGCATGTGTTAAATTATAATTTCAGTGAGATTATAATTAGAGTTTTAAAGTGAGTCTATTTTCGAAAACTATTAAGATAAGGAAGTCTTATCCTAATCTGAAAATATTTTAGTCTTCTAATACATTTGTGCATGTGTGTGGCCGTGTATTTGAGTCCTTTTAGTAGTAGGGGGGTCGAAAATTTTATCTCTAATAAGTAGGGATGAGTTTTCTTAATTTGTGTCCAAAAAGGATTATGTTTACCTAAGTTTTAGGACTCTATCCTTGTCTATATATATGAGGCCGGTTTTTCTTCTTCTTTATTCCACATTGTCGAGAAACCTTCATATATTAGGGGGGAATATTTTTGAGAAAATTTAGGTCCTATCTTGTAGGAGTTTTCTTGCACAAAAAGACTTGCATTGCCTATAACTAGGAGTGCTGTTTTTCAAAAATTCTCACAACACTCTACTCCAATTTTTCTTCTTCTTTCTTGCTGCCGAGATCAAAAGAGAAAAGCAAGAGAAGCACTCTTCTCTTTAATTCTGAAATTTTTGAGAGTTGTGTTCTTAAAAGCACAAGAGAGTTTTTGTTTTTGGGGAGAGCTTTATTTGAACCTTCCTTTGGTTCTTGGGGGGGTTTCAGCCGAACCAAACTTTGGTTCTAGGGTTCAAGGAGTTTTTGTGTAGTCACAAGGCACATTACTTCTTTTGTTGGTGGATTCTCATAATTGTTGAGCAAAGATGTCATCCGGAGTTGCTGGTTGTATTCAAATCGCTTCAAAGAGTGTAGAGGGTCGCATGGAGGCTCAAGTACAGCTCATGAAGAGTCAAATTGACTTCCTACATGAAGCTTTGGCCGAGGTTAAGGAGGCAAACCGAGACTTGTCTCAATTGCTTTCAAATCAGCAAGATAAAGCTATGGTAAGTTTTGAGAAAATTGCTGAAAATTTAAGAGTCTTATGTGATCGTTTTGAAGTTAAACAAGTACCCTCGTATGCTGGAATGTTGCAAGTGTCATTGCCTTTGTTTTATGGTTGTCATAGAGAATATGATACTTGGGAAAAGAGCATAGAGAATTTGTTTGTGTTGCTCAACATAGAGAAAGAGAGTGAGAAAATAGCCTTAGCTATAGGTTGTTTTCGTTCTAATGCTTTGAATTGGTGGAAGCTAGTTTCAAATATCTATTCGCATTATTGGTTTCGTAATTTGGATGATTGGAATGATTTGAGAAGTGCTTTGCGAGAAAGATATGCTGGTACTAACACCTTTGATGAAGCAAAAGTGAAGTTGCTCAATTGTAAGCGAATGGTAGATCCATTCAATCTTACTTTGAGGAATTAGAGGGTTGTTTCGAGTTCGAAGTGGATGAGAACGACTACATGTTGACAGACCGTTTCCACTATGGCTTGGACAAGTGTTTCAAACAACATCCAAAGATAAGGAGACAATCAAGGCTCTATGAGGCATACTATGCTACCTTAGAAGTGGAAAGAGCGCATGATACTTCTTGTGGTTGGAATGGTCCAATTGAGGATCAGGGGTTGGTGTTTGGAGCTGAAGATGGAGATCAATGGACTTGTATCTTCCGTACTAAGTGTTCGGTTGGGTGGTCCAATGAAGTTGATTTGGTAATCGACGGTGGGTCGAGTACTGATTGTGTAAGTGAGGAATTTTGCATAGCAAACGGAATTCAGATGGATCCGCATGCTAGACCATACAAGCTTCAATGGTTGAGTGAAGAGATGGTTGTGGATGTTATGCTGTGCACCATTGCTCAAAGAATATCTTTGTCTTTACTAAAGAGGGCAGAAAATATGTTCTTAAGCCTTTGGCTTATGAAGAATCTGAATCTGTGCGAGAGAAAAGACGTAAGATAACCTATACACAAGGGAGAGAAAAAGTCGAGCGAGT